TGTGCGCATGCACTCGCATGTGTGCGCGTGTTCTGCAGTGGGAAATGTTCCTCAGACAAAATAAAAAGAGCGACCATCCCCCAGGTGGTGTAAGCACTTGAACTCTAGACCTTGGATTTCACTTACTTGGAGTATGCGAGTTGTAGATCACGAGCGAATACCAGTTTACTAGTTTCTGTTATAAATATTCTTTATTTTTTTGTCTTGCTAAGGCACTTTGAATTATATGCACATAAAATTTTATTTTGTCTTGGTGACATAATTTTGAAGCAGAACTCTGCTGCTTCTGATGCCAGGTAACAAACAATGAAAATACATCTCTCAAAAACATAAAAAAATAAGAGAATTAGTACTTTGTTTTGTTCTACTACGATAACTGAACCTTAATGTATAACACAACCTGCCGTGGTCGCCAGGCAATGTCATTGTTAAAACAGAACAGACAGTCTCAGCTGCATTCTTCACACCACTTTAAAAATACCTCGATTCTCTCAGCACCAAGTGTCAGCGAGACAGCTTTGTTCTCTTGCTGTTCTCAGGATCCCTGCTTCTGACTATGTTTTACAGGTGAAAATCGTGACACTTGTAGAAATTAAATCCAGTGGTACACGGTTCCAGGTGAATCTGTGTTGTGCCACATCTGGCGTTATCCAAGGTCATTTGTCGTGAGCCTACGGTTAGTCTTGCTGAGAAGCTCCTGTGGGTTGAACAGTCTCCTCTAAGTGGCAAGTGTGTTCCCAGCACCACTTTTTAATTAGCCCATTTCATGGATACTACATTTGAGACCTGAAAAAATCGAATATAATACTGAAGCAATGTGATATAATTCCTGATAGACTTAATAGAGAAAGTAGACAAATTTGATTTTTTTTCTGGACATGCATTAGCTATAATTTTGCATCAGTTCCTTCAACTGTTTGAGCCTCAGACCTTTGATGTACAAAATAATTATAATGATTGTAGTTACTACATCTGGTTCTATTCTATGAGCCTTACATTGAATATCTCATGCAACATACAATTTCCTCTATTAACTGCGTTTTATAAAGGAGAAGACCAATGATTTATAAAAGTTAAATAGCTTGCCCAAAGGTACGTGGTCTGTAGATACTTAGTCCTGTGACTCATGGCAAATCCCCATGTTAGTTCCTTTCCCAGAAAACCCTACATCTACATAATACCCTTAAATAGCATTTTGCATGCAATAATTTATCAGTACTCATTGATACTCCCAGTTGTCTTGATCTCTGTCCACATCTTAAATCTAGCAGGGAAAATTATCTTTATTTAATAACTTGAGCTGCCAAAATCAGCTCCTGTGAAGTGTCAGTGACCACATTTAAGCAAAAGCAAAATGACTGGCTCGCTCGCGGAGGCTGCTAACCTGAGGAGGAGGTTGGGTCACCTTAAAACTTAATGCCCCTTCGACCTCAGTCTAATTTGCTTAGCAGAATAAATCATGAAGATACTTCATCATAACTTTGTAGAGATGACCTTTCTCTTGCACTCATTGGCAGTACAAGAGATTCTTAAAACTGCCTACATTATTTCTCAGTGTCTGTATTTAAGCCATCTTCAAACATCATCTTCGATGATGTGGATCTTAGATATTTTGCAATAAATTTGCAATAAAGTTTAAAAAGTGAGGAAAAAACTCCACTCACATTCTTATAATTTAGAGAGATTTATGAACACATATGCATATTTTATCATAATCATTCATTTATTCATCAAATATTTATTAAGCAACGATATGCCAGCAATCTGTTAGTTGTTTTTTTTTTTTTTTTTGTTTTTGTTTTGTTTTGTTTTTGTGAGACCCTCGCGGGTGGCCGGGGATCGAACTGGTGCTGCAGAGGCTGCGGGCAGCCTACCAACCCAGCACTCAACCGCTGCGCCACCAGGGGAGGCCCAACAATCTGTTAGTTTTTAAGAATAAGGTGGTGAAGAAAATAGATTTGGCTCTGCCCTGCCAAGAGTATCTGATGAGCAATAGTGACATTTTCTATCACACAGGAGATATCAAAACAATAAAGTGAAAAAAAAAATCCTACTAATTTCAGGTTGTATCACATTATGCTGTTTTTTTTTTTTATTCTGATGTTCCTAATTTCAAAAAAAAAACCAATATTATAGTATCAGCTAAGACTTTCTGAAAACAGAATGATTGCAGTGTCAATTTTTTTTATGATTTATTTATGCATACAAGAACGGGGATACAGGCCAGAGGTGTGGGAGGGTGAGAGGATTCACCAGAGACAGAGTGGGGAGCAGAACAGGTGGATCCACTGAAATCCACTGCTGAGGGGAGCAGCGGGGAGACAGGAGAGGTCTGTGCGCCATGTGGGTAGCTCCCTGGCTGGGGATCGAACTCATGCTGCAGAGGCTGCAGATAGCTTCACGGTGCTGTGCTTAACCCCCTGGGATGCCATGTAGTATAAATTCTTAAAGCCATTTGGTTTTAACCAAGAGGCTCCTAAAGGAAAGCGGGAGTCACAGTGGGCCAGGATAGAGGACCGGGGTGGCGCGGTGACACACACCTGCAGGGTGTGATTCTGTATCTCGAAATCATACACAGTGTTGTAAGCCAGTGTGTCCTCAATATAAGTGAATACACATGACTAGTGTTACTAAAGAAATAACTCAGGGGAAGGGGACCTTGGAATCTGCTCTTTCAACTATAACGTAATTATTATAATGCTACTGGGATTCGGTGAGATTAGTGAGGGTCAGTGCAGTGGGTCTGCTGCTCCTCTTCTGTGAGCTCAGTTGTGTCTGGTATGAAGTCGCCCTTCAGTGATCTCCCACTGGCCAATCTTCAACAGCAGTTTTCCTTATTTTACCTGGTGCTTTGCCCTACTAAAGTCACCAATATTGGAATGCTTAAGTCGTTATGTCTATGACTCTATTTTATTTATTTCACTTGAGTCTCTCCAGTAAGTTTCTTCCTCTCACCCTGTGAATTTTTTTATCATCTTTAGATGTTTGTCGTTCTTGGAGCTCTTTATTTCCCTGATTAATATCATATACTCAATTATTCCAGTAAACTGACAGCTCTCAAATTTAATAGTCCTCAATTTCAGACGCATTTTGTCAAATGTGAAACTCCTGTTGAGAGTGAGGATTCGCCTCACACACCTACAGTGAAACCAAGTAGTCTCTCCTACAATGAAACCAAGTGCTAAACTTTCCTGATATTTTATTCTTCTCAAAATGTGAGAACAATGAGACAATCATCTTTCTCATTAAACCTACTTGATTTCGTGTGCTTCCATCTTGCACATCCTGCACCATCCGCTTCCCAGTCACTCAAGTGAGAGTTTCCCTGCTGTTTGTCTCTTACCACCGACATACTTCTTTGACCAAAAACTTCTCCTTATAATCACGGTTCTGACTCAGATTTCTTCAACCCTCCTCTTCAGTATTCAATAGTGTTCTGTGGTTGCCTCCTGCAACCTTGTCCTTATTAAATCTAATCTCTGTTCAGTCTCCAGGGTAACGTACTACTGCACACAGCTCTGTCAACCCCCTGCTGGAAAACAGCCAATGGTGCCCCCTTAGAGCGCATGCTCCTTCATATCACACACACGTGATGGTAATTTGAGGGTAGTCATCTGAATTTGTCTGCAGTCTCTCCAGCCGCCTCCTCTCTCACAGCTTCCATCCCTGGATTTTTCTAATTGCACCAAACTGTTGCTGTGCTCCATTCAGACTGTCCAACTCCTTATCTAAAGAGCCTCATCCTTTGCCTTCTCTGACTAGAGGGCCTTCACTACCCATATACTCTACATCTGGTGAATTCCAGCTGTTGTTTTAACACCTCCATGTTTATAACAACACAATCACTCCCCTGGCCACCATATCAGATATACAAAAGCCTTCCCAGTTTCTCCGACTGAATGTCAAAGAGTGTGTCGAATTTAATCTGACAAAACTAAACTCCTGGTTTTATTCAACTCACATCTCAGAAGACCTGTCTTTCCAGAGTTTTCCCATTTCACTGAAGGCAAATATATTCTTCTAGCTTTTTGCTCAGACCCCAAGCATTCACCCTTGATGCCTCTTTTTTTCTTCACATAATCAGCAGTTTCTGTAGACTCTACTATTTTTACCAGAACCTGTCACTTCTCACTATTTCACCACAACTGTCACTACCATTCTAGTGCAAATCGTTTATGTTATTCAGTTCATGGCTATTTTGAAACACCACTGAGGCTAGTGCACATTATTCTATTCCCCCTACGTGCCCTCCCCCTCCCTGCACTGTCATCTCTACCCAGCAGTAAGAGAGAGCTTTTAAAATAAGAATTCACATTTTCTTCTCATCCCTGTCATCTCTAGCTCTCTTAACATGCTTTAGTTTTCTTCACAGCACTTATCACTGCTTGACACATACTTGTGTGTTCTTGGCTTTTTCCCACTATAATAAAGCTCCTTGAAAGTGCAGACATTTTTTTTTTCCACTTAGGACAAGGCCTGGCCAATCATGATCCTCTGCCAATATTGGGTGACCAAACAAGTAAAAAAATGTAGCTCCGTGTCTCCTCTTATTCATAATTTTCGTGGGTTAACCTGATTGCCAGCATGTCCCTCCCCTATGTTTTCTTGATACAGAGTGCAGATTTCCATCTCTTCTACATTCCTTCATAAGTTTAGGTAAATCTTTCCCATTAGATTGATTTTCAAGAATGGGAGAAAATATCTTCTCTTTAATTTCTGTGTTAGTAGAGTGCCAATCATCTAATGCACATTCTACACCCATTGCAATTAAGTGAAAGCATGAAGGGATAAAACCAAGCATCCCTATGTTTGTTTGAGATGGTCCGTAGTCATTAATGATAACAGTCCTTTGAATATAAAACACTAAAATTGTAGAGATATTTGTATCAGATAGGTATGGTCTTGCAATATTGAAATACTTGTTAAAGTCTCTGTTGTTTGACCTTTCACTGTTAGTAAAATAATGTGTCTTTCAACAATTGAATTTTGTGTTTTTTCAGAGATCATCTATAGCTGGGTGTTTAATGAATTCCCATCCTTTGTGGCGGAAGACAGCCGGCGGTTCATTTCCCAGGAGACAGGCAACCTTTATATTTCTAAAGTCCAAACATCAGATGTTGGCAGCTATATTTGTCTGGTGAAAAACACAGTGACGAATGCGCGAGTACTTAGTCCTCCAACACCACTCACGCTGCGTAATGATGGTAAGTGGAATGGTCAGTTGCCTCGAATGTGAAAAATAAACAAGTGTTAGCGTGTTTAGACCTAGTATGAATAAAATACAAAGTCATTTATCATATTTAGAAATGCCACATTTTAAGTCAGATTTTGCATACCTTAGAATAAAAATTTTGACACGGGCAAGTGATATTCTATGAATGAGAAATATTAACCATAAATGGTACTGTACTGTGTAAAAAGGAGAAGGATGAAGTGTAATAAAGACTCCACAGTTCTTTTCTTTGATCCTTACTGCCTCCATCTAGCATATGTGTATGAATTGTAAGCATTTTATAGATTCACTTTTCATTACGTTTTTATTTTAGCCAGCTTCAAATTGAATGTTCAGTCTTCAATACTTCATGTTATAATTGTTATTATTACTTTTCCAATGATAGAAGCAGTTAGAGCTCTAACTTTTAAGTGCAATTCAGGCAGAAATGATGATTCTATAATTATAGGTATCACCATCTATCTAAAGTATCTTCAAATTTAAATACCTCATTTGTAGTTATAGACATTTACAGTTAAGCATTGCATTAAAAAAGTCAAGTGCTACAGCACAGTTGATATATGATATGTGTCTTGCTCTGTCATGCAATAAAAAATCTATGAAGACATTATTAAGAAGTGAGCTTGAGACTCTTGATTGATTATATAGCTTAAAAAATGATCTATTTCAACTCTACTCTTTCATATGCTTAGTTTGAGAGTATATGCTACTGGAATGTATAGCCAGAGTTACAGCTTAAGAATTTTGCTGACTATTTTGTTTCTCATGTATTTAGACTTTATAGTGTGTGTGTGTATTACATATGTATGCATGTGTGTGTGTTTGTCAAAGGTCGCACAGCTGGATAATGGAATGGAGCAAGAGGTGGGAAATACAAATGGAAACTGGGAGACCAATTCAGGGGCTATTGAAACTAAATAACAAGCTAATGCAAGACCAATGAAAGCAGCGGTAATAACCTTGGAAGGCATTAATCATGCCTGGGATATTAAGAATACAGAATTACCAAGATATGATGATCAGTTAAATGCAGGACTGTAGAGTGGGAGGAAGCATTGATATAGTTCATGGAAGGGGAGATGTTTCTCTTCAGGAGAAGAGATAACACAGGTGAAGGACTAGATTGAAATGTCAATGAACATGTGGTGTTCAGTTGGGGATATGATGCAATGAAATGTCCAAGAGAAAGCCATATCAGAATATTTCGGAGGTATTTAGATAGGTATGCCTCAAATGCAAAGGAGAGGGGTAGATTAAAGAAAGAGATTTAAAGGTCATCACTGTGTATTACATAACTGTAGTTACAGCTATGTGTGTGTATATTTTATGCGAACTTTAACTTTACCTAAGAATGTCCATAGCGTGGAATGCAAAAGTGAAAAGATAAATGCATATTTAAGATTACTCTATGCTCATCATTTTTTAAAATTTTTTGGAGTTTTTTTTTTTCAGTTTCTCTTCTCTAAATTTGTTTTCAAACAAAAGAATAACAGCATATTAGGAATGGAATCAGAATACCAATTAATCCCAAACAAGTTCTTCATGTCCATATATCAGAAATATTTTAAATGATTTCCTGATATTAAACTTTTACTCTTTTACTATTAATTACCATGAAGAAGAAAACATATTGATGGTGTTTAGATAGAGACTCTGATAAAACTGTATTAATAACTCTAAACTAATAAATGTTGGTCTCAGAACAAAATCATTCCCCATGTTAATTAATCATCAAAATTGATACCTAGTATGAAATGCCAATAAATGTAAGCAGAGGTGATATCAATTTTGTTACAAAATAAGGTTATAAAATTTAACTGTCAAATTTTACAAGACTTGTATCAGGCTAAAGAACATCGTCCAAAATCATTAAGAGATGTATTTTGGTAAAAGACACAGAAAGTGTCATTTTATTTTTTTATTATTTTTTAATAATAAATTTTTATTTTTATATTCCCCATACAATTGCAACCCCCTTATTTTGACCCCAATCCCTCCCCTCCTGCCCCCTACCCCCCATAGAGTGTCTCTGGTTCATAGTTTTTTGTTGATTTTGATTTTCAGAAAGTGTCATTTTAAATGTCAGAGTGTGAAGTTATTTATCCATTCCAAAAATAGTTGCAGTGTTTGGAGAAAAACCATTGCTAACTTTTTTTTCTATTTAAGTCAACTATCACTACAAAAGAGACTTCCTCATAAGCTGCTTCTGTTCAGCTGTTTTATATTTATATAATATTTTCTGCTGCTTACCTTTTCAAAGTTGATAATTCATTTAAATCCGTAACCTTCTCTTAATTACTAAAAATAATTCTTGACTTTCTGTTATATAAAATAAAGATACTCTATCCCTACTTTTTCCTCACCTTCCTCACTTTGGTCTAACTCCTTTCCTCAGGATATTCCTCACGATAGTCTCTCCTGCAATGAAACCAAGTGCTAAACTATCCTGTAGACTAACGGGAAAGGCTGAAAATCAACAGATATTCATATTATGTTTATTATTATCACTATATTGTGGTAGACTTTAAAACCATTTTTAGACAGATGTGTTTTTCATTAAGGGAAAGTTAGAAATGAATAGAATAAAGCTAATAACATGAATAACACTCTGATATACTTTAGACATCTTTTTCTTAAAATTTTTATGTAGAAATACAATTAATAGTTTCAATAATAGTGTTTAAATAGAAACATTAGTCATCACAATGAAAATGGTAAATAAAATTGTTAGTGTGGTTAAGAAAGTTCATGAAAAAATTATGAGATAAAGAAAAGTGAGTTTAGGACCAAGCCTTGCATGATCCAAATTGTCTTGCAAGGGTAAAGATGATGAGACGTGAGAAAGATGATGTGAAAAGCAGAGATGGTTAGTGTCGAGGAAGCCAAGTGTGGAAGTGAGGTCCACAAGAAGTGAGCACTCACTCACGATGGGGGCTGCGTGGGTGTATTTGTCACCTGTCTCCCTTCTGAGACCCTCCAAGAAGAAATCCATATCCTTAGTGACTACACAGAAGGAGAGAAGCACATTGCTAACAAATGAGCCATTTTGATACGTTTCTGGAAGAATAAGAAAAGATGTGAGGTAAAGAATTAAGAGGACAGAAAAAACTAAAACCCCAAATCAAGTTTAAGGGATCTAAAGAGGGGGGTCAATGACCATGTTCCCAAAGGAAGAAGTTCTGAAATCAAACGAGCTAAGGGGGGGAAACATGGTTTAGGGTCAAAATAAGGGGGGTGGGAATTGTACAGGGACTATAACCATGAAGAAAATACATACATTGTGCAAAAATGAAAAATGATGTAAAAAGTATATAAAATAAAATATAAAAATACTACTAAAGAAAAGGAAATTGCAAAGTATATATGTATAGAGAGAGAGAAAGAGAGAGAACAACTCTTTCACTTCTTTTTAAGCTTCTGTGACTTAGCATTTATATGTAATTCTAAGTTAACAGTTTCTATTAAAAAAATCACTGAGCTTATTTTATTGAATGCTTATAGAATTCATACCAGGATAATGAGTGAAAAAACAGGAAGCTTTTAATATTATTCCAAGAAAAGAATAGAGTAGAATAACTTTTAATTCAAAAACTTTCATATCACTATTTGATCTCTCTTCAAAAAATGTAATTGGAAAGTGTGTTCATCAGAAGGACATATCCCTGAATGTTTTCTCAAGCAGGTGGCATATATTGAACATTTCATCTGCAAATGAAAATAGAATATGATTGTGGGTGAATCCATCTATTGCACCATAGTCAGCAACAGTTCCTGCTGAGTTTTACAAACCTCTCAATGCAGACACAGGCATTACAATGGATATTTCTGCAAACTTAGCAAGCATCTCTGCAGGGGTTTGAACATAAAAATTACCATTAATCTGCTGTGACCATAGAGTAAGCTATAAAAATCATTTCAAGAGCACTGTGTTTTTATACATTTGGAGGAAAAAATGTACTTCTGGGGAAAAATAATAGAGAACATGTACATAAGCAAGACATTTCTTCAAGTAAAAATTAAATTTTACTTAATAAACAATTGTGGAATGTACATTCTGCAGCTCCTAAAGCAACGCTCAAAATAAATTCTGTTTGTGGGTAGATTTCTAGAAATTCATCCACAGAGTGGGGCAGAGGAGTGGGAGGGGCTTGAGGATTGATACCATGGAAAGAGCTTTGCATCACGGAGATCACCACTCCCACAGGCAGCTGGACACGGATTCTGCAGCACCACAGCCTTATGAAAGGCCTCAGAGTCGTGCCCTTGAGGGGGGCAGCAGTGGGCTTCTCCCTCCTGTTCCCAGGGTTTGTCCCCAGGCAGTGAAGCTCTGTGGACTTGCAGGTTGCCCTCAGCTTGCAACTGTGTGAAGCTGGTGGCATGTGCACAGACCTGTTTGCAGTGGCAGTTGTGGGAATAAACATTCTGGCCAGGATCGTTTGAGCCGGCACACAGCGGTGTCTGACGCACGGACGATAGTATCGAGAGTCTTCTCAGCCTTGGGAACTTTTGCTTACAGATAGGAACTCTATCTAATACTTATATAAATGCAAGTGCCCTGATGTTGAAGATTTGTTTTTCTTATAATTCAAGACTGTGCTATTGATTTACTATTTAGCAAATATTTTGCATCCATTGTGAAATATTGTATTAGGTTCTATGACCTATAAACAGATACATATATAAGATTTTTGAAAAGTTTGCAGACTAGTGAGAATGACAGATAATTACAGTGCAGTGCTGTGATAGATATGGAGGCCTGTATTGTTGTGGTTACACCCATAGGAAGATCTACTCTTATAACTCATCAGGGAATGCTTCCTGGAGGAGGTAATATCTGAGCTGCATTTTGAAGATAAACTGGCAGTTTATCAGTTGGCTAGGACTGAAATGTGAGCAATGAGGAGATATGAATGTGGAGAGGAGCAAAGTTTGCATCAGCCAGACCATGTTACCAAGGCACTGGCGAAGCTT